ATGTGCCAAAAAGAAAAAATTTGGGGATGGCCAAACACGGTGGAGGAAAAAAAAAAAAAAAAAAAAAAAAAAAAAAAAAAAAAAAAAAAGAAACCAAACCAGCAGCAGGTTGGTTTGTCCTTTAAGGGCCCGGAACAGACGGGCCATTCCTGCCTGTGCCAGGATACCCATAGCTAACCCAGTACATCATTGTTGAGTACAGAGACTTCTGTGCTTCTTTTCTAGAGTTCAGGTTTGTGACTGCAGAAGGGGCTAAAAAATAGGGGGAAAAAAATCCTAATAGGAACAACGATACACGAGAGAGAATAGAAAGGGAGAAAAGAGAAGACCTTAAACTTTCATATCCCTGAACAAGAAACACTGTACTATGAACTTGCATTGAACTGTGACGTTTTCTTCTAGAATCATCTCCATTATCATCAGAAGGACTCCATAGAGAAGTCCTGAATTTATAAATTTGCTTACAAAATAACCTAAGAGGAAGAGCTGAAGTGTTGATATCTTGTACTAGTTTGAGAAGCAAATCCTCTGAAGGTGACCTGGCTAGAGAGTTCAGTCACCGTAGAGCACCATAAGACACCACGTAACACTCGACAGGAGGAGGCAGATGAGGACAGAAGTCCGTCATTCCATGCCATTATAAAACGTATACAGAAGGTAGGAGCCCAACTCAGGAAGAACACCTGGTGTTTGGTCATCTGTTCCTTTCTCTGCTTCTAAGGAAGAAACAACAACAAAAAGGCAGCCCTGTACAGGATTGTTCTGCTATAGAATACTGCACTCGGTCCGATCCATTCTCACCAGATATACACCCATCCTAAAAAAAGTCAGCTCACCAGAGGCAAGATTCAGTAATTAAAGGGCAGAATTAAGTCGCACTTCCAAATTCTATCACTGGCCTTAATGTAACACACTATGCAACTCCAACCAAATTAGTTTCTTTGTTCCTTAAAATTAGGAAAAAATAACTGCTACTTCACAAAGAACTTCAGAACTACTTTTTGTAAAGTGCTTTTGAGCTCCTCACATGATGAACATATTCATATTGCATAAAACAAAAACTGGGAGGTGACCTGATTATTTTTCCTTTAAGTAAAAACAAATATGAAAATGAAATTGTTAGATGCAATTGTGTTTAATTACAGTGGTAGGTACCAAGCCACTCCTGAAATCAAGTGCCTCGGTGCTACTGAGCAACATACCAAATCTACACAGAGTTCATTTATTCTATTTTGATTCCAGTATAATTTGTTCCAACATATTCTTTGCTCAATCCAAATCTACTTACCCAAAACACAATACAGGCTATACTTAGTTTTGTATTATTACTTAAAAGTAAAAAACTTGTTCTGAAACATTTTGGCTTCAAGAAAAGACAGCTTGTGAATCCACTGACAATCTCAAATTATGAACTTCAGTTTCCAAAGCCCTATCACCATTTATCTCAAACTCTTCCACAGATCAAGCCAAATCTATGTTTAAAGTTCAAAATACAAAAGATATGAATTATGTTTTTATAAAAATGTAAAAAGCTAGTCAAAATTACATGTTTAGATATTTAATCTCTGAAGAATGGAGTATAGCAGCAGAAACTTAAATATAATAAGAACTATCAACAATAAATACAAGAAATTAGTGCAAAGATTGCAATAGAAGGATTCTTGAGTACAATGAGAATATAAAGAGACATTCTAATTTGTACAAAAACCATCCCAACTCTGTATACAATCTCTTCTATAAATACAACCACATAAGATGAAATGCTTATTTGCAAATAATAGTTATTAAAAAGTGTGCTTTATTGGGTTTTTCACTCATTCTCTTGGCAGGTGTAGTTTGCAGGAAGTCTGTAAAGACAAATTTTCATAATTAGACATTTTTAACTCCTCCAGAAGTTATGTTTTAAATACAACTAACAACACATGAAGTACATACTTGATTTCCACAGAAAGCATTGTGAGAACACTAAGCATTGTAACAAATCCATTTGCAGTTAGCAATTTATAAGTGTGTGACAATGAGATAAATTAAAAAAAAAAAAAAAAAGTGCACCACAAATATTAAAACAACAGTTTACCTATAGCGGAGCATGAAATTGGCTGTGCATTGCTATTGCCTGTTGAAGTTTTTCCTCTTTGGCTCGTCTACAGTGGCAGAGCTACAAAACAAGACATAGGAAGAGTGAATTCTGAAAGGAATTTTTTATAATGTATACTACAGTTTCTCTTCAATGATTTAGCTACTTTGCAGGCTCTTTAAAAAAGGAAAACCCTGTGAACCACCTCCCTTCCAAACTTCAGGGTCAACAACTGTGTGTATTGATAACATTACTACATCCACAACTGCTTGGGAAACAAGAGAATTGTTTCCTATGTTATGAAATGCATTTCTTAGGCATTTTTAAAGAAAGGTACACTACCCGGTAAGTCGCTCTTGTTGCAGCATGAGCAAGAATGGTGGTTTTTGAACCTCAGTTATTTATTTCGTGATAGCCATCAACAGAATAATTAGTTTATGAAGTTTAATAAATTAAACATTAAGGTTGCTTAATATAAGATGTCATTCTATGTCGACTTACCAAATTTAAAATTGTCCATGTGGCTATCTTCCCTATATCTATATAGGATATAGAAGAAAGTGGCACAAAAATATCTGCAACAACACAGGACTAGGGTCTAATGCAGGAGACCTTTGCACTCCCATCTTAAAGGTATGTGCCTTCAGAATGCAGATTATATTCTAAATAGACTGTAGCCACTTAGGGATATATTTTTCTTTTGTTGGAGCTTACTAAAGCACTGTTCTGCATCACAGGACTGCTCAAGCTCCAAGTCTTAAATTTATTCACTATGTGTTGTATATCACTCAGATTAGAATGACTTGTATATTACATACCGTTCTCTTTTCCATGAAACTACTAAGGAAGTCATCTATTTCTGTTTTGCCTTCCAAGAATTCTTCTGCAATAGTGTCAGATTCCTCTTCAGCTTCATGAGCAGCTACTTTAAGTCTGGCTTGCAGAGCACTTGGACTGCAACTCTAAGAAAATAAAAACTCCTCTGTAATATTAAACTGTCCATCAAAACCTACATTTCCAATAAGAAGGAAAAATTACTATATAAATATGGGATATGTGAATAAAGCTGTATTATTACATAAAAGCCTAAGTGACCAGATGAAGCTTCACCTCCAAGAAACAGCATAGCTTGTTAAACTAGAAAGGATTCGATGTGAGAAAAGCGTTGCTAGTTTAGGTGTTCATTCACAATGATTCTCACAAATGTATAAACCTTTTCAACTTTTGCTCTACACTGTAGAAAACATCCAACTTGGAAATCTGACAGGTTCTCGAGTGCATGATTTCTGAGTAGAACTAGCTTTTTAAGTGTCTTCAGTAAACAGGGTCTACTTTTGAGACTCAAAGTCAGTAGTGAACCTGAGAAGTATAAAAAGGTAAAGAAGCACTTACTGTTCAGCTTTTAAATACCCTTGAAATGGCTGTGGAGAGGAAGACAGGAAAGGAAAAAGCACCTACTCAAGACGTAGATGGGCTGCTAATCTAAACCAGTATACTCATTCTTCTGTTCTTATAAACCTCAAACCTTATTTCTGCTTATTGCGTATAATTGCATTATTTTTCCTCTAAAACGTTTGGACAGTTAATTAGAATGCAATTCACGTCTTCAATAGAAGTCTGTGCAGAGCCAGAACTGCAAAATTAAGGTATTTATAGATTTTAGATGCTTGGAGTACCCGTCATCTACCCCATGAAAAATATTTTACTTACATACTGTAAAACTGTAATGTAATCAGAAATTTCCTGTTAAATTAATCTTGTACAAAATAAGGAGAATTTGCTTTAATAAAAGATGACTAAAATTCACCCACAGCACAAAGTAAAAAGACTTGTCTGGAACTTTGAAGGAGAGAGAACAGGAGATACCAGGTAGTGTACAGTGAACATCAATATATGAAGATACAGCCTATGTGGAAAAACAGCACAAAAATCCATCTGCAACTCCCCAGCTCTCAGCCTCCTAACCACCACTAAATTGAATCAGCAAATCTAACTTAGAAAAAAAGAAAAGGTAATATAGCAGTGGGATATTATGTCCTGTTCTTAAGTGGTTTCTTACAGAAATGAAGGTTTCTCAATGCCAACTACCTCCACCCACTTTAAAGCCAACTTATATCACACAGAAAGGAAGCATTAGGAGTCAGACTATTCTGATTTTCAAGCGAGGAAACATTTAATTCATTTAGATTACCAATGAAATCATTCAGTTTGCTGTCACCTAACTTTCTGCTTGCTATTTCGTATTCTGTTACTTTTTGAGCATTTTGAAATTCAGTTATTATGCATGCTATTTTGATGGACTGTTGCATTCTCAGGTCACAAGTCTTGCAAAGATTTCAGCACAGAAATTGTTTTATGACAAGTTACATCTTTTAATGCATATCCTGGTAAACATGCTAAGAAACTGTTCTTCTCCAAACTGCTTTCTGAAGTAGTGACTTTACTCTATTTGAGCTTTAGAATGTGCAAAGTTTGACAGCATATATAACGTGTTGCCCAAAGTAAGCATACCCAGTGAATCACAGAATTTAAGTTTCTACAACAATGGTTTTAATTATTTTCATCTCATACAGTTTTACAAGCTTATTATGTTGAATGGGTACCATTAATTAAACAAGCCTTCTTTATAAAACATTCTATTCTTAAAACTGGTTTGACCCAGGATTGTACTTAAGAACAGCTCTAAATGCTCATCACACTCCCTTCTTCCAACTTTGCTTCTATTGCAGCGTTAAAAAAAAAAACCAACCCAAAAAAACAGTAGTGCAATCATAACACTGCTTTGCTTTCAAACGGTTTGGTACTTCATCCCATTTTATTTCACACTTGATATGAATCTATTCCATATAAAATTAGAATTTAACCAGAAGAATATTCTTTATAGATAAAGATAGAAATCAAAACTTCAGTTTTATTGAAGTATTCTTAAAAGATAATATGATATAGAGATTATACCTCACTAAGTTCATGCTGTCTTTGCATCTTTTTTTCAAAGGCTGCTTTCATCTGTGTGAGTTGCTCATACTGGAAGGAAGAAGAAAAAGAATGTTTTCCTCCCTGAAAAAACCAGAATATTACAACTAGTATTTCTGAAAAATATTTTCTTGTTCACTTACTTTATCCAACACTGTCTGTCTTTTTGCCTCAAGACTGGGCTCCAGCAACAAGTTTTTTTCTGTAAAATGAAGTCACTATTACTACTTTTTTTAAAGGATTCAGCTCGCAGAACACAGCCACAGATGATAACGTTTTGACATCTTACTTGCCAGCTCTTCAATGCTTTTCACTAACTCATCTCTGTCAGTAATGACTTGCTTCAGTTGTGGTAGAGTCACAAACTGTTCCAGTAACACTTCCTCTTGCTCGTTCATATTGGTCAGCTGTGATATACTATATTCAAACAGAAAGAAAGCAGATTTAAAGCTAACAGCAAACATTACATGTAGAGTTACTCATTTCTGCCAAAAGTTTGAGGCATTTATTGGGATGTTACAGATACACGACACTCGACCACAACTTATTTTTCCCCTTTTTGCCTGGACTGTGGGCTCTACTATCTGCAGCAGTGAGCTTAAAAAGCAGTGTGTTAAAAAGTATCTCTCATTTCAAGCCTTATTTCCTATAAAGCGTTTTTTAATGCTACTATAGTGAGTTGACCTTGGCCAGCTACCAGACGCTCACTCAGCTGCTTTCTCAGTCCCCCTCCTCAGGAGGATATAGGGGAAAAGCTTGTCGGTCAAGATAAAGACAGGGAGACCACTTACCAATTACAATCACAAGCAAAACACACTCAACTTAGGAAAAATTAATTTAATTTATTGCCAATTACAGTAAGAGTTGGATGGTGAGAAAGAAAGACAAAACCTAAAACACCTCACCCCCTTTTTCCCCAGGCTCAACTTCACTCCTTCATTCGCAACTCCTCTACCTCCCCCTGCCTCAAGCACTGCAGGGAGTGGGGGGAATTGCAGGTGTTGCAGTCAGGCCGTACGTTTGTCTCTGCTGCTCCTTCCTCCTCACACTTTTCCCCTGCTCCAGCATGGGTCCCTCTCCACAGGCTGCAGTCCTTGGCAGTAGAGCCTGCTCTCCATGGCTACAGTTTCCTTCAGGGCTTACCTGCCTGCTCCAATGTGGGGTCCTCCACGGACTGCAGCGTGGATACCTACTCCAGCATAGTCCTCTCCATGGGCTACAGGGAAATACCTGTTCTACTGTGGTCTTTTCCAAAACCACCACGGGCTGCAGATGATTATCTGCTCTAGCAACTTGGAGCACCTCCTCCCCCTTCTTCTCTGACCTTGGTGTTCGCAGGATTCTCACACTCTTCCACCCCTCCCCTGAATCCTCACTGTCTCTGCAGTGTTTGCTCTTTTTTACATGTGTTTTCATAGAGGCAGCACCTGCTTCACTGATCGACTCAGCTATCCTGCAGTGGGTCTCCTGCCAAGCCAGCTGTGTCTGGCATGGGGGCAGCCCCTGGGCCCCTTCCCACAAAGACCACCTGTGCAGCCCTCAAGCTACCAAAACACTGGTACCCACACCCAACAGAGCTACTCAGAACAGCTGCACTACCATTTGTAATTTAACTCAACTACCACCAGAAGAATCATGGAATTTTAATCCGGTCTTCTTGGAAGGACCAAACTTGATTAGAATGTTTTATCTAAACAAACAAATTACACTTCCTCCCCAGGCCCCCTAACTTTCTGCTACATAATAAGGATGCTGCTAGAACTTACAGCTGATTTAGCTAAATTAAACAGGCTCTTAAGAAGGTGTCAAGGGAAACAAAAAAAAAACCCAGAAGTCCTTCTTGCCAAAGGTCTTTTGCTTTTTGAAAGGACAGAGTTTTCAATCACTAAACTATGACACCACCACAAAGATGTGAGATCAGAAAGAAACCAATCTTCTAAGACCCTTCAGAATTACTAGCTAATTTGTAATCTATTCAATCCCAGATAACTGATCAAGGAGGCTGTCTCATTAGATCTGAGCAAACTGCTGGGAACAATAACGAATATAATTTCAATTATGACAAGATATGCTTTTGATTAAAGTATTTGTGTAATATGTGTATGAAGTATTTAGATGTGGAAGTGATTTGCACTGGGACAGCTGGCACATTTACCACCTGGATTTATCTAAACCAACCCCCCCGTACATGCCGAGCTGCTCACAAAGTAGTCCATTTGTGAACCAGTCTCAAGTCCATTTCCCTGTCGCCTTTCCTCCTTCAAAAGTTACGCTTATTGTGTTAGTAGAAATCAAGTCCCTGGTGAGGCCCCAGAAGACAGAATACTGACAGTTAGAAAAATAAAAATAAATGCTCTTTTCCCTGGTGTTGAATCGTAACGTATTGTTGCTGCTGAGAAAACCCTAAACAAGCACCACATTTGAATACAAGGCTGGCTTACACTCTGACTCTACAATTTTGGTAAGTGGTAGTTCTCCTATTTATAATTTCTACAAAAACCTTTCAGTGATATATACAGACTTTGGACAAAAATCAGATACAGACCAGCAATAATTGCCTTTTAATCACTATGGAAAGTTTTGCTACCTTCTGAAAATTTACCTTAGTTCTGAGAGTTCTGGAAATGTATCAGGAACATCAGGCATCTTGTAAGTAAATCCATTCTGGCCAACCTAAACGGAAGTTTAGAAAAGCTTAGTAGATTTTTGAAGATCAATTTCTTGATGTTTAACCTGATTAATCCAAAACTGGAGATGAATATTTGCCAGCAACAAGAAAAGTAGGAAAAGTAGTAAGAAGCAGTAGCACTAGCCTCTGAACAGAAGATGTCTCAACTCAACCATGGCAACAAAATACTTGGGGATGTTTGGGGTAGCATGTCATAAAAGATGAACCACTTTTGGAGGAAAATAATTCTGTCTTGCTATGTCCTCTGTTTGAGAACAGGTGGATGACCCAGGAAACACACAAGAGTAGCATAACTCAGGGAAGTGAGAACAGAGAAAGAGATTGACATTTTGATCTCTCTCATGTGGTTTTTGAAGACATAATCCCTCAGGACAAAAGTTTTTAGAAGGGGAAAAATAAGTCTGTCTTCATAGAAGGTATAAATTTTAAATTCTACAAAACCAGAAAAGTGTCTTCCAAGATGAAGAAAGCTTTTGTTTCTAAAGACAGGATTTGATGAAAGACTAAACATTTGGATAGAAAGTTTCTGGAGGACATTAAAAAAAGAAATCCTTCCAGAGTGCATCAGTGAGAGGGATTTTGTGAGTACACACATCCAAGATCCGTGAAGAGAAGCTATTTGAAGCATGAAACCAAGAAATAAATACTCTACACATAACAGCTTGGGACTGCACATCATTCTCACCTGATAGGTTCGGGGCAGGAAATCCCATATAGATAAAAGGATCTCATTTTCTACGGCTGGAGAAACAGTCACAGCTGTACTATGGGGGAGTGCAGCTCAAAAAAAAAAGTATATTCAAAGATATTTAGCATAACACTAGTTTCACTGAAACTCAGAAAGACAAACTTGTTGCTCTGACTTCAAGTTTGTTCTAAAATACTTTTCATCAAAGCCAGAATGGCATTTTCATTTTCCTAGCACCAGCAAAACAATGAAGTGTGGTCACTCAGACTGTTCCTTGAGTTTTGTGGCAATGCCCTGTGTGCCCTTGAGGGAACTTATACCCAGTGTCTGATAGCTTAAGCAGCAAAACTCAGTGCACAGACCTGAAGCACTGCTTCTGCTGTTGGAACAGGTAGTGGCAGATCAGCAATGAAGCCATAAGAGGGAGCAGCAGGCTTGTCTGTAGTGTAGCTTGAAGAAACTGATTCAGCAACTGGCACGGCTGCCATTGTTCTATTTGTTTCTTGAGGTGGGTACGGAGGAAGAAATGGAAACCCCTGAGGAGCGTAAGGAGGCATTCCAGCTGGTTTGTTGAAAAGGCTAAAAACAAACAAACAACCACGACCATGAGCAACCAACTGCTTACAGCACATTTCTTATAATTTGAATTGTAATTACTAGACCACATACAAGACAAAAGATTGAATTTTTAAAAGACCATAAAGTTTGCATTTTCTGTTCTCAGTTACTTCCAATGTAGTAAGTCTACTTTATGTCTTATACTGTGACACAATATACAACTCCATTAAACTATATTCTTGTAGAGCAGCCAAATACACACTCACACTCTTAATTGTAAGAAAACTACTTCTCAAAAATTTATGAGAGCGTAACTTTAAATGGTTTCCATCTAAAAGTCCTGAGAAATGCATCTGTGTCATACATTAGTTCTTATTTACAGTATAGCATTTAACAGCTTGGGCAATGCACACAATAATTACTTCTAAATAACATAAATTATTTTTTTTAAATTCACAACTGCAGCTGCATCTGAACCCAGTATCATCGTCAGCCACGAGAACCACAGTTGTAGTGATAAAGCTGTAATGTCTCAGACCACTTTTGCATATTTAATACAATTATTTAAACTGCACAACTTCTGTTGCACAGTTGTGCAACAGAAGCTGCCTCTAAGCCTGGGAGATTATGAACAGAATATGAAGAAGCACAACTGCTCAGATCATGATCTACAGCAGAATCAAGATTTCATCTGATAATGTAAACATTTATTCTTTTTCAAGAAAACAGAAGTTATATCAGCATGTTGATACAGCAACTCCAATGAAATCCAGTGTTTCTTCTGAAAACAACCATGCCATCAAGCATGCACATGAAACTGTGCAGGGAATCTATGTCTCACAATACATCCACTACATTATTCCTGTTCCTGCCCCCCTGATACTTGGCTTCATCTGTGGTTAAAAAATGTAAGTTAATACACATTGTTTCATTCATCATATTTATAGATACTTACTATGGAAATGATGTTGAGCTAGGAGCCAGAACTGGAGGATTCTTCCAAAACTCATCCAGCAAACTCTGAATAATTTTTCCCAGATCTGAGTGCATTGTAAACTGGTAAAAACAAAACCAAACCAAACCTCAAAAAACTTAAAGCAGCAAGATGCAGAAGAAAAATTACTCCTGGAATCCAACAGTTCCAAAATGTGCTGAACTTGACTAATTATACCCACAGGGCAGTGCTGTAAGCTATTTCAGAGACATATGAGCTAATGTAATCTGTGTTTATGCAAGCTCCAAATAAAGTGATAAAGCCACCCAGAACTGAACAGAAACTACAAGTCTTTTGGATATTCCATTATCAATGGAGAATCAATCAAGTATAACATTTCTGATGAACAACCAAAAAAAACCCCACCTTGCTTAACAAGATACATTTGGAGGGAAAAAAATAAAGGGGAAAAAAAACCCCTCAAGATTTAAGTTTGAGACAAAAAGCATCGTTAACTGCATTCTGAAAAAGTCATAACCTGACTCCACAACGCAAAAAACCCTATCACATCCTTGCTGGCAGAGAAAAAAAAGCTCACAGCATATTAAAATCCTGCATATTAGAGCTAAAACCTTTATATCTTTCTAACAGGATTAGGGTAGAAAGAACTATGTCACAGAACAGTCTTAAAGCATCCTTCTCCCTTATTTGGAATAGCTGTAGAGAAAACAAGAACTGTGCTATTAGTACTAACAAGAAAAGTGGTAGGAACTTTCTAAGCCATCATAACTTAAAATAGTTTTAGATATATGGAATACTGAACTCAGTAATGGTAGCAGTAAAAGAATTAAAAGTAGTATACCGAACACTACTGAATTTTTGTTTTCAGACCCCTGAAAATATAGTTTGAGAGGGATTAGGATCTGTACTAGTCTTTTTTAGCAGAAGCATTAGCAATAGTCTACTGTTAATAGCAATTTTAATACATGTAGATATATGTGAAGCTACAAATTATACATACATTACTTATTAATGGACCGGTCACATACACTCCCTGCTTGTCCATTAAATGATGTCTCACAGGTGGGAAAACACTGATGACTGGTTTTTCCTGAGGAAACTGAGGTGGAAGCAAGCTGCAAATACAAGAATTATCAGCTACATCCCATGATAAAGTTTGCATAAGAAGACTTCTTATGCAAAGAAAAAGTACTATTAATTACATAAACTTATGTTTCTACAAGAAGAGTTATGGAGAAACACAGAGTGAAGCACACAAGAGGATTATTCAGTTACAAAATTAGAAGTCAGACAGATTAGAATACCAGACTTCCACAGAACTGAAGAGAGCATTTACTGGGCAAAACCGTAGCATAACAATGAAGCAATTATGTCCATGGACCAAGAAAAAGCTGTAGCATAACGAGAATATTTTCTAATACAAATGTTATTACAACAACATAGCATAACCTGCAAGAATATCAGGCAAGTTATCAGGCTAAAGTCATAAAAAACTTGTCAACAGAATACCATCAATATTTGCCAGAGCAAAAGCACCCCCCAAGTAAATTCATTGGAAATGTTACAATAAATCACTTAAGTTATGATCCAGAAGCTTCATTGAGGTAAGAGTTAGTACTAGGAGCTACAGCAGATTAGTAAATTACTAATTAAGTTTATTTTCACTCGTAAGGGATTCAAAGTCATCAGAAACCCTCAAGCATTTTCTCCTACTTATCTTCAACCAAAACCACGCAGGTATCTTAGCAGCTGACCACAGCAAAATATAGTTTTGCTTTCAGCTGAGCTGAGCATCTGCATCTTGTACAGAACCACTTGCACTTAGATCACTACAACCACTAATGCAAATCCAGGTTATAGTTCCTCAAATTAGTTATGAGATGGGAGACATTTATGTTCTATTACTACTTTTTTTTGAGAACATTTTTAATTTTCAAGATGTGCATAGAGATATCTCACTCTACTTACATGTTAATATTAATTGTCAAGTTGTTTACAGTGAATGGCAGTCGATATTCCACATCTTTCTGAATTTCTGCAATGCTGTCAAAGAAGAAATTGTTAGCATCCAATTAATGGTCAATATAACAGCCTAAAGCCTAAAAAAGGGCATGACCTCAGACCTTTGTATTTAGTTTAGTTTTGAAAAGCCTTGTAAGAATAAAATTGAAAATGCTGGAATAAGTTAATATGCTTCAGAATGCTATACTGAATATTAAAATTAAAGCAAAAAATAGTAGATTCAACGTTCAAACCTCATGCACGATCACAAGCGATGGAAATATAAGCAGAGAAATTGTGCTACCCACTGATCTGACAACAATCCCAACTTATCTTTCTCCACTTACTGGCTTAACTTCAGACATCACATCAGTGATTTTTTTAATATACTGATTTTTATCTGATAAAACATTTACTTTGCCAAGGTGTTACACCTGGTTCACAACTAAGTATTGCTCTGCAACACTACCTACAGATCAATATTTAAAACATACATTACACTAGGCCTTCTTGCTTAATAGATTTGCTTACTATTTAATAGATGTTTTTTCCACATGAAACAAGTTCTAGGCACTTGCACAGATATTTTCAAGAATCATCTGGAGAAGAGCTACTTGTAAGAATGTAAAGCTCTGTAATCTAGTGACACTCAAGACATAGCCGCCCCCCTGCCCCAAAAGCATCGAGTGAAGAAACATGTTATCTTATGAAATCTGGTAAGACTGAATCGAAATTTGCTCCTCCTATAACACGTAAGTTACTGAGAAAAATCTTTCAATCATCTGCATTAACAGGAAATTGATTTCAACACTCAAAGCACTCTACAATTTGTATGCACAGCAAGAGTGTTTTGAAAGATGGCATCCCAAAGAATGCAGAGGAGGAGGAGCAGAAGACCTAACTCAGAAGCAGAATTTCTGGCCAAAATTAACATACCTACACCGGGACCGGGTGAGAAAGGAGGGCAGAAAATCAGCTTCATCTTACAATGCCACAATCAAAACAAACTTAAAAAGCAGACTGATTCCTCTTCCATGTATTTTTCCTGCCTGCACCTTGTTAATAATATTCTTCTCCCTCACCTTTCTAAGGCTCTCTTATAAAGGGAGGGAACACAGCTGGAATTGGGAATAAGGGCAGCTGGGTGTTCCCAGAAAACCTCTTTGTACCCAACTTCAGAAACGCCCCTACATCTACCTCCAGGTGCACTCCATACAATTACTGTCCCCAAAAACCCCAGAATACATTACCTGCAAATGCGCATTAAGCGTAGGCTAGGAGTGTTTTGTATCCCTCCAAAGCACTATTTGCACACAGAATTTAAAACTCTAGTTTTCACAGCTTCGGGAACAAATGGAGCAAGACACAAACCTAGCTATGCACCTTGCTTTCCGCAGCCTGACCTCATTCCTCTCACAGACAACTCAGTATCAGCTCTTTCC